GGGGATAGCTCCATGGCATGGAAGTATTCAGGGTTTTGATCCAGATCAGCTACATATTTCTACAAGGCCTCCTTGTAGTACAGTTCAAATAGGTTGAGAGAAAAAGAAGAAAATTAGGCAACTAGATCACTCCACTAGCAGTGAATGACTGCTAATTTTCCAAATTGTAGCCTGATTTCCAGGACAACAAAAGCAGACTCTTTCCCTATGGTTTCTCTAAAGGAGTGGTAAGAAATTTGAGATATGAAGAGAGATTCAAGTCAGAAGCAATGATGGGTACTGTAATCAGCAAACCTCTAAATGCCCAAATTCTGTCTTGACAGTTAATGTTCCCCATGAGGTTTGGAGGTTGACACAGACACAAAAGAAAACAAATATCCATTAATAGCTAGACTTGTGCAAACAGGATCTCTCTTTAGCTAACCGGGCCAGTGCACAATGAATGGGGTAAAACCAAAGGACATCTCTCCTTTTCTCAAGCCAAAACGAATCTTAGCATCATCTGGACTCAAGGAAGGACATATACTGAAGAGATGAGTATTCCAGAATGTGCTTAAGAGACTAGTATAAAGAAGTATATGGCCAAAGGTCCTCTGGGCAAAGTGCCTGCTAGTTGAGCTGCTTATTTATTTTTGAAGGTGACCTTGTAATAATCCTGACCTCTGGTAATGCAGGCCAATGAGCTTCCTACAAGCTGGTTCACCAGTTCCACATGCCCTCCTCTTGGGGAAAAGCGGAAAAAAGAGACAAGAGAGAGTCAGGGCCTACCTCCCCCCAGAGGTGTCATCTCCCCAGATGCCTGTGGTTAAGGAAGATTCTGTTCGATTTCAGCAAGCAAGTGTTTGTGCAATATGGTTTCTGGGTTGATGAGGCAGTCCACAGAGCATGAAGGAAATCACATGGAGAAAAAAGATTATGGATTTATGTCTCAAAATTGTGGGCTGAGAAAATAGTAGCCCATCATTTCTTCCCTATAATTTCCTTTCTAGTGTTTATGCTGCTTAAACAGTGGGTCCTGAGCTAGTAGTTCATCCTCAACTTCAAGGTTCATGGTTTTGGGGGTACCCACCTTTATCATGCTGCCCCCCAGGAATGTCTCCACAACTGGAAAGCAAACTCCCTGAGGCAGGGCCTCCTTTTCCATTTTTCCACTTAACACACGTCCTCTAAATAGATGGTGAAGGAAAAGCTCCTAGAGCCCAACTGGGATAAAATCCCCACTTTACAGATGGGAAGGCTGAGGCCTAGAAGGGCCAAGCTGGCTTGCTGACCAGTATATCGTCTGTCTCTGAACTCAGTACTCTCTCCACTGCCTCAATCACAAGTCAGGTTCTCCTCACAACAGCTAGGCACCAACATTTGCAGATGATATGTACATGAGTGAGTAAATGCAAAGCAATGTAATATATACCTTATGAGGGCAGCACATTACTTCCATGACATATAGCTGAGTCTAAAAAACAAGGTAGAACCCTCTGCATAGTATAATTTCATTTCTGCTCCTCCCTGCCCTGACAAAAATAGCCTGTGCATGTGCTTCTATGTGACTGTATCTATGAATCTCTATGTATGCGTTCTCACATGCACAGAAAGGTCCAAGGAATGCCCACCAAACTGTTAACAGTGGATTCTCCTTGTGGGTGGGAGACTGTCATTCTTTTGCTTATTATATTTTGGTACTACTACATGGTTTACAATGAGTATATATTGCTTTTGCAATTAAAAAAACATGAAGCAAGAAATAACAGTAGCCACCATTTACTGACCAGGCACTATGCTGGACCCTTTACACTCACCAGCTCATTTCATCCTCCCCATGACTCTGTGGCATGGCACTATCATTATACCTCTGCCATTATAGGGAAACTGAGGCTAAAAGAGGACAGACAGCTAGTAAATGGCAGAGTCAGGAACTGAACCCAGGACTGTGTGGCATGAAAGCCATAATCAGATATTCCAATGATGTCACTCTATTTTATTTGTACTCAATGAGAGAAAAGGGTGTGTGTCTCCCATGGAATGTCATCCATATTTCCTGAGTTGCTTCACAGCAGAAAAAGGCTGCCAGCTGCTGTGCTGTTGAACTAAGGCACCCTGGGGTGTCTGCTGCCTGAGCTGAAGGCCCGTTTGCTACAGCCCAATCTCCTGGCCCAACCCCTGTGCTCCTCCGTCCTCACCATTCTTGGCGATCTCTCCATGTGTGAATTCCATTAAAGGCTTGCTCACTGCTATTTTGGGCTGTGCATTAGCACGTGGGCTTTGATTTAATGGGATCAGGCCAGACACCTCAGGATGATGAAAAAGAAATTAGAAATGTCCTCTCCCTCCCCTCAGACTCCCAGAAGCCCTTGCCCTCAGCTCCTGGGAGGCCTGAGAATCCAATACATGGGGAAGTGTATCAGGGGTGGGGGGTGAGGATGGGAAATGGAAACCTTCGTGGTCTATCAGGGACTTGGAGCTTGGCTGTGCCTTCTCCCTGGAACTGTCATTTCCACAGGGCTCACTTCCTCGCCTCATTCAGGTCTCAACTCAAGTATTAATTTACTGCCAAGGCCTTCTCTGACCACCATTCTGAACCAGCACGTCCCTCCCCAATCCCTGTGCTCCTGAGCCCTTCTGCTGTTTAGTTTCCTCCACAGCACTTATCATTGGATACACTACACATTCACTTATTTATTTACTATTCCTGCCCCCAGAATATAAGCTCTATTCCGGCAGAAATTTTTATTCACAGCTGTGTCTACAGTACCGACACCAGTGCCTGGAAGGGTGCATAGTGGATGATAAAAATGAATGAATCAGTTATGGAAGTTAAGAATCAGTGCCTCAGGAGTCAGCACAGGGCCTAGTTTCCCCTCAAGTATCAAGGGATCAAGAGAACTTTAATGCATTGATTTGGAAAGCCAATAACAACTTCATCCGCCTTAAAGCTGTTTTGAATCTGGACTTGCAAGCAGCATGAATGAAGAGACTTTGGGAAGTAAACACACTAGGAAGTCATGTGCAGTTGAAGTTCCTCTTGCTAACACATGTTCAAAAACAAAAAGCCCAATTTAGACGAAAATAGCAGGAAGCCATTCCCGAGGGATACCTGGTGAGGTCATATTGCTTGGCTCTGCTGCTTCCATTTTTGTCAAATCTCCTGCCTTTTGCCAACTCAAGGAGTCCGGGAACCACATCCAGCCCCCCACTGCTCACTGGGAAACCAGATAGCTGCTTAGAGCAGCAGACAATAGAACCACATCCACGGGCTCTCCTCCAGAACCCAGTGTGGGACAATAAGACGCACAACAGTCATCACTCGCTGTGTGCTCTGTAAGCACTTTGTGCACATCACCTCATTTTGGTCCTCATAACCACCCTATGAGATCAGCATTACTCTTCCCATTCTATAGATAAGTAAACTGAGGTTCCAAAAGATGCAGCGGTTTACCCCAGGTAACACAGGTGGTAAGCTGAATCTGGGTTTCTGTGACTCCAGACCCAACTCAACAACACAAATGATCCTCGTCTCACTTGATAACTTGCTGTGTGACCTTAGACAAGAGCTTCTCCCTCTCTGAGTCATTCTACACCTACACAGAAGACTCCTGCAGTCAATGTTTTCTAAGACATCTTGCTGCTCTAACGTCCTATGATCTTTTGCAAAGGTTCCAAAACATGAGGGAAGCATGAGCCTTGGTTTCCCTGCTTGGCCAGTCCAACTCTGAAGGATTTGCCCATGGCACAAGTCCATCTCTTGGACTGTCAGAGGAAACTGAAAGGTCAAGTGCTCCACCTGGGCAGACTAGGACGGATAAGGCTCAGGTGGCAGAAGGGAACTTTCAGACTAGACCTGAAAGTCTGGGCCAAGAGAAACAAAAGAAGGCGCCTGAGAGACTGTCAAGAACAGAGCCTCTGAGGGCCTTTCCCTATGTGACCAATGGAAGATGATGCAAGGAGAAACTCCGGTAGCAGAGCCTGCACCGTCTGGGATGCAGCCAGTCAGGTCTTTTCCAGGAAAATGGGTCAATAGGAACACATTCTTGGGCTGGTTTTACTCTCAGAAGGAAAGTAGCAAAAATGTGTGAGATGCCACCTTTCTGGCTTCCTGAAGGCCACCATCCACTGGAGGCAGAGGAGAGACATGCATGAAGCCCATTACTGCTCATGCTGCAGGAGTCATGCTTTTACTACAACCCCAACTCCTTTGCAAGTGTCCAAATGCCCAAATTTGGAATAATTTATATTCTTGCTTTTCTTCCAGGCTTAGCAGCCATTCCCATCCTTCTAGACAGGGGAAGGTCCCTATCCATTCCTTTCTTGGCAGTGATGTGTTTGATTACTCATCTGCTTCCAGGCAATTCTGGAGTTTGCCAAAAGGAGACAGGCAGTTCTCTGAACCACGCAGCCTTATCTGCAAGCCTGTGCAGCAGAATGAAAGTGGGACCATTGGTGGGAAAATACCAAAGCCTTCAGAGTCCCCTGGCCAAGTAAGCAAGCTCTCCAATGTCCACGCAGATTGGGAAGGGCAGAACAATGGGCAACAGCCATGCATTATGTCTACTCACCTGCTCGATAACATAAATCAAGATACAACTGCACTTGACAGCAAATCAATGTGGAAATATTTCTGAGCCAGGAAGCCACCCAAGATGAGTGAAATGAGGAAGATGGAAGAACTAGCCTAGTGAAGCCACGAGACTGCTGACCTTGCCCATTCTCAGACACACACACACACACACACACACACACACACACACACACACACAGCTTTTTGTGCCTGCAATGAACTCTAAGAGGCCCCTCAGGGAAGACGTTACAATGTCCAGTAACTTCACAGCAACTCAAGAGATTATGGAAGTGTTGTCTTTGCAAGACGCTCCCGACAAAGGAACCACGGATTGAGAGCCTGGGTCACTTGACCTGCAAACTGCTTCCGTGCAACACAGCAGCACCTGCATCCGGTGCTGACGTGGAAATGAGCTGTTTCATTTTAGACAAAGGAGAAGTCCACTTACTCATTCTTCTCCAGGTCCAGGATCAGTTCTCGCCCCTCAGCCATCACCCTGAGCTCAGCTTTGAGTGGATGCTAAAAGCAACAACAGGACAATGTCAGTCCCTGAAAGCAGGCACGAGGCCTCCAGGAATGGGCGCAGGACCTGGCACCATGCACTGACACTAACCCACAGGATGGGAACATGAAAGGGCCAACTGTATGTCCAGCCCAAACATGAAATAACTTCAGTCCCAGGATGACCCAGTTCCCCTCCCCATCTGCCTTCTCCAGAAGATAATAGAAAGAAACTCCAAGCTGAAACGTGGCTGCAGTGTTGCATGCAGGTCTGGTAGGGCCAACACCTGAGAACACGGTCTTCAACAAGGAAGTCTGTGTGGAGTTGTATCTGGATTCAAGCACAGGCTCAGACACTGTACATATGAATGTGGGCATGTTACTGAGCCTCCCTACAGCTCAGTTTCCTCATTTATAAAATAGAGATCATAATAGTCAACCTTATGGGCATCTTGTAAGGATTAAGTGACATAGTACACGTAAAGAATTTATAACAGTGTGTGGCACACAGGAAGCCCCCAGTACATCTTGGCCATAATCTAAAATACCCAGGGAAGCCTCTTCACAGTGAGCTCTAATTTTATTTCACTTTTTTATTTTATTTCAGTCCTTGGTTTGGATACCCCTCAACCATCTCAGAGTCGATAACTAGGAGAACCTCCAATAAGGTTTCATAGGTCCAAAACAAGATACATCTTATATATAAGAGAAAATTTGCTGATGGCCAAAGTAGCTACACACACAGAAAAGGCTATTAAAATATCACACAAATGGCCAGTGAGCATGAAAAACATGTCTAACATCACTTGTAACTGCCCATCCCCTGACCAAAAAAAAACAAAGAAAAATTTTAAGATGCCTTTAAAAAAATCAAAGTGACAAAGTTTTTTTCAAACATAAACCACAATGCAGTGGAGCATACTGTAAAACAGGCACTCTCACACTCTACGAGCAAGCATTTAAACTGATACCAACTCACTGGAAAATAATTTGACAGTGTGGACCAAGAGTTTTCAAATGTTTAGACCCTCTGACCCAGCAATGTAAGACTCCAGAGAACAAATGGATAGACAGGCAAAGGTTCATACACGTGGATGCTCATGACTTGTAATAATGACCAATGACACATGACCTAAATGTCCCAAAGTAGGATAATGGTTAAATAAATGGTGATCCGTTCATGACAAAACACTAGACAGTCATTAAAAATAATGACTTTATAACTTTTAAATTATCAAGAAAGCATACACTATAGTTATTAAATACAAAGGATCAAAACATAACACTATGCATTTTATTTAAATATACTCTTGTAAAAGGAGAAAAGTTAAGAAATACACCAAAGTTGCCATAATTATTTCTTGGCAGTAGGCTCATCAGTTAATTTTATTTTCTTTTGTGCATCTTTCCATGTTTTTATAATTGCTTTTATATTTAAGAAACAGACTTGCTATCTTTTTACCTTATTATTGTGGAAAATTTCAAAGTAATTAAAAATCAAAATCATAGTAGAATTCCATGTTTCAATAATTCAATTGAAGGCAGCTGAAGTTTCTCTGAAGGAAGAAATTATTTATTTAAAACATGATATTTACATATTTAAACACAGTAAAAGCAGGATCCATTCTTTACTGTTTTACATGCATCCTCTCTAACTTGGAACCTGATAAACTCTCAAAGTCTCTTTCAATCCACAAAAGCTCTTGTTCAAGTGGAGCTTCTGTTCCTTACAGGTTGACATCAAAGCTCAGTTTTCGCATCTGATAATGTGAATCTCCTGCTTGCTAACCTCTGGTTCTATCTGCCTCTTCCAAGCACATTCCTCTTCTTTTTGCCTCAAGCCTCACTTCCCATTAGGGTCCTGGGCATCCCTAAGACTTTCGGCCACCTAGGGCTCTGATGAGATCTGAACGTTTCGATCCAGGATGCTTGAGCAACCCTGTCCTTTGCTATTTTTTTTTTTTCTGCTAATTTGTCCAATTGACTTCTCTGAAGAAGGGACATTTCAAAACCATGGGGAGAGGAAGCTGGGTGGATGTTTGCCCAATAACTTTCACTAAGGAATTTACTTCTCTGTTTCTGATGCCCTGATTCAGCTCTGCCAACACCTTTTCTGGTCACTGGTCCTTTGCCACTTCACTCTGCGGAGTTCTGACTCGGGACCTGCCCAGTCACATTAAACATCAGGGACACAGTCCCAAGTGAGCATTTGAGGTACAGCACATAGCAACAGAGCTGTAGCAACTCCCTTCTCTAAGAGAAAGGTGGCCATGTGATAGCCCACACAAAAAAACGAAAGTTGACACAATTCAAAGTACTGTCAACTCTCCCTCAAAGAGATACAAGCTGCAACATGAGTACAAATATTTATTTTTAAGTGGGTAATCCAAAAATATTTCTCTGTGGTATGGAAGACACTTGGACACTGATATTTAAAATAGGATGCTCCTTCTTGCCAGGACACATTTCAAGCAAAACAATGAAACAGCATTGCAAGGATCTATGGGGCCTCCCTGTACAGCTATACTTAGCTTTTCTCCTGCAACTGCCTTCTGTGCTAGAAGGGGTAACATCACTTCTAGGAAGTGTAGGGAGCTGATTCACTGTTTATGCTTCCTTAAGGTTAAAATTCGTTTCTCTTTAGGGCTAGGTTAAATAGATCCTCAAGTTCCAGAGAGCACTGGAAACTTGTCCTACATATTTGCATCCCCCTTAAGATCTAGTACAATATTTAGCATACAGTGAGTGTTCAATTAATGGATAAATTACATAAGTGAGAATAAGAGACAGAAGAATTAATTACATAAGTGAGAATAAGAGACGGAATGAGACTTACCATCTACCCTCTCTCTCTGTCTCTGACATTCATTCATTTGTTCATTCAACAAATACTTATAGCCCAGGCACTGTGGCAACTGTCCCTACAAAGTACAATGACCCAGATTCTGGGCAGACAATGACTGGGAACAAAGGCAGGATCTGGAGCTCCACTTTGTTTCTCAGGCTCTTCCTGAGGATGCTCGGCATCCCACATCTGGAAGGAACAGAAAGACCTCCACAGAAAGTATCAGATCCATTCTTTGGGCAATAATGGACAGGCTGGACCATCCAAGATCTTAATTTTTAAAAATAACCTGCTGTACAATGGCCATCCATTAATTTGTCTCGGCATTTCCTGAAGCTATTTTCAGCCTCTCCTATTTTCTGATTAAATGAATTCCATGCATCTATCATCTTTAGGATAAAATGTTACAGGATAAAAAGCGACTCTCATTTGTCCTAAAACTTACTCTAAGTTCCCTTTAAAAATCCAAATTGGAACCTTTTTGGACATGTGTTCATTACCCTAGCCATAACTTCAAGGACTCCAGGCATTTCTCCTTTCCGCTTATCTTTCCAGACTCAAGAGCCACAGAGTCTAAAATCTTTCCTGACCCAGCTCTCTCTCTCTCCTACTATAATCCGTTATATGTTGCCCAATAAATCACTGATACTCTGAATCCAAAGGCATCTTATTAATTACTCCTCTCCCAGCTCTCTTCCTTTTTATTCCCTCTCAGCCCTATTTTATAAATGAAGAAACTAAGGTTCAGAAAGTGGAAGGTCCCGGAGTTGGTTACTGACACACAGCAATCACACCTCCCTTTCTAACTCTCTCATGAATCACTTGAGCTGTAAAAAACCAGAATCATAACGAATATCCTGATGCACAGGTCCTCTCAGCAAGATCAGAATGTTTTCTGTCTTGTTCCCAATTTACTTGATAAAGCTTATGCATTTGGCTGGTGCCAGTACTAGATCACTTCCCTGCTTCTTATTTTAAAAAACTAGTTTGGATTATCATTATTATTTTTCTCTCCAAGAACATTACCTTATCAATAAAATAAAGTATGTATTATGCAGAGCAAAAATAACAATGACACTATTTAATTAATTCCCATTGAAAGTTGGTCATTTTTGTGGCACTTATTTGTACTTACCTTGTGTCAGCATTAATGTGGTTAACTATTGCTCAACTAATAGCATTGGGAAGTTCACTAGAAGTTTGTCACACAGTGAAGGGAAGTCCCATCTGGGACTTCCAAACCCATACACAGAAAGGACGGTGAATTAACGGTGATAACTGGGCCTACAGGGAAGCTGAGTAGGTGCCCAAGAATGGAGCTGTCAACTCCGGCCTCTAAAAATGAGATCTTTTGAAGTTTTACCTTTTCTTTCATGGGGCCTTCAGCAGTCTTCCATTGAGGTATTATTAGTTCATGCTGTAGCTGGGGGCTGCCTTCCCCACTTCCTCCTGCCAATACAGAATGCACACCATTGGAATCCCAGACCCCTGCCCCTGGCTAAGCCAAGCATGCACTGCCACCTGAGAGAAACCCCATATTAGGTCATTAGACGACCTGTTGGATTCCAGGCTCTAGGCACTTACTATGGGTCAGGCACTCTACTAGGTGTCAGCCATAGAGTGGTAAACGGAGCTAATGAGGTGTCTGTACTCCTCAACGTTTACCTTCTAGAGGTGGGATGGACAGTACATAAATATTCTCCAATTTTATAATAAGGTCATGGAATAAGGGGTACTGAAGAGAGAGTGCCTATTTTAGACAGCATGATTAGCAAAGATGGCGTTTAAAAGAGACCAGAGGGACCAGGAGAAGACAGCCATGCAAAGATTTGGGGGCAGAGTACCCCAGGTATGAAGCGCCCAGCAAACGCAGTGGCTCCGCCTGAGCAGAAGCAGACATGCCTTGTTTAAGGAACAAGCAGAAGGTAGATGTGGCTAGAGACTAGGAAACGAGGGGCCAAGGTGGTAGGAGATGTGGTCAGCAAGACAGCCATGGGTCTGATATTACAGAGGCCATGGAAAGTGTCTGGAGTTTATTATAAATAGACTTGGAAGGCATTAGAGGATTGAGACACAGAGCAATATGATCTGTATTCAGTTTTTAAAAGATCACTCTGCCTGCTGGGTGGAGATGGGGATGGGGGAGGGGAGGCAGGCGGGAGTGAGAGCAGAAACAGGAAGGCAAGGCTGGAGGCTTGCAGGAGCCCTGGTGAGAGATGATGGTGGCTCAGACTAAAATGACATCAGTGGAGAGGAATGAAGTGGTCAGAACTGGGTAACTCTGAGGTCAAGCCTGTGGGTACTACTCCCATTGAGCTTCAGTTTTCTTAACTGTGACATGAAGACAATGATACCTGCCTGCCCATCTCATAGCATTGCTGGGGAGAGTCACTGAAAGTGCTTCCTGACCCACAAAGCACGCATTAACTCGAGCTTCCTAATGGCAAGTGTGCATTTGTATATCATTTCCTATTTTCCAAACCACTCTCACAGCCCAGTTCTCCTTCATCCTCAAGACAACAACCCTTGAAGGGAGGTAGCAGAATTCCTATTTTGCAAGAAAAGAGAATTGAACCTTATTAGAGGAGAGAGTTGTTCCCAGCAGAGCAGACCTCAAACAGTTTGCAGATCATTTTAATAAAAGGGTAATTTCCCAAGACCTAGGCAAACTAGTCTCCACAATGACAGGCCAGTTTCATAAGACTCCTGGGTATGGGGTGAGAACTCCAAAATCTATTCTTTCTAAAGCAACCACATCAGTCACATAGACTGTAATGTGTGATATAAAAGATGGCCATAGTTGTTTTGTTAGAGTGGTGAGATTATGAGATTAACTTCTCTTTCAGATTACTGATATATGATATCCTCTATCAAAATATATCCTAAAAAATAATCTCATTAGACAAGCATTGTTTTCATCTTATTGGTAAAAATCAGAAGCAATGCATTCAGTTATTCATTACATGTTTTCTGAGTACTTAACTATGTACCACGTACTATGCCAGATGCTTGATATTCATGGACGAACCAGAGAAGCAGAGTACCTACTCTGGTACCTCTAATAAGTCTAGATTCTTTGCATCAAAAAGGAATTATACCATATTTAATAAAGTATTTAAAGGAATGGAATGAACTTCATGACTGCAAAAAATGCTGAAAGCAAGGTTCAATAATAAAGGAACACAGTACATTTTAAGAAAAAGTGTTCAAAACTTTGCAAATAAGGCTAAGAGCTAAAGCAGGACCTTTTAATGTCACATTGGAGCATTGTTTAACAGGCCCTGCCAGAGATCACTGAATTATCTAGGGAAATGTACCTTTGTTTGACTTTTAAAATTTACGAGTAATTAAAAGACTATACTCTGTGAAGTTATATCTTAACAATAGATTTCTGTCTGGTACAGATGCAAATGACTTCAATCCAGTGGAAAGATAACTAAGAATTATGGTTGTTTGACCCTATGTGGGCACTGAGCACTTTTGTATCCATCCCAGTACATGACTTCAACATGATTTCTCCAATGTCTGTATCAGCCCTGTTCCTCCAATGCTTTGAACCAGCTTCGCTGATCGATTCACGCCTCATTAATGAATTGAATAAATCCTTGCCACCCATTCATCCTATATTTGTGAGAGTCATACTTTAACTTTTCGAAAATTATACTTCTCTAATTTCTTGATGGCATTTATAGTCATTAAAATCAGTTTTGAAGAATGTAATGATGTGGGAAATGCTCATAATGTGAAGTGGAAAATGCAAGACACAAAGCTATACATATGGTATGGTTCCAATTTTATCAATATATATTTATAGGAACACACACACAAAGACTGGAGGCAAAAAGGAGAGACTGGGAAAGCAACGGAAAGAGAAGCCCAAAGCCGAAAAACGGGGAAAAAAGAAACAGAGAAAGGGTCGCAAGCCTGGGAGGGGACCTGCTGTTTTCGACTGCTCTGGATCCCCCGGATCTCCACCACCTCCCGGGGCGCACGACGTGGGAACAAAGCCAGGCTCCTGGGCTGGGGAACGACGGGGGTGCACACGCCCCGCGGAGTTGCCAGGGGTGATCCCAGGTCCCCGTGCCACCCAGCTCACCCGCCTCCATCGCCCCGTGTCTCGCCCGCGCCTGACCACTTACTTCTGGTCCATCCCGGCAGGGCGAGGGCCAGCAGGCAGAACCGGGCGGCGCCCACGCCCCCGGGCATGGTGGCAGCGGCCCCTCGCGCGCTCGGCGCTCACAAGCACGCGGCCATGCCAGCCCCCGGCCAGGCGGCGGTGCGTCTGGAACCCACTGCTCGCCCAGCGCCTCCCAGCCCGGCTCCCAGCCATCGGCCGCGAAGCTCCGCCCTCGGCCCCGCAGGGCTCCGCCACCAAGTGGAGGAGGGGACGCGCCCGCCGGAGGCGGCGAGAGGGACCTCCAGGGGAGGAGCCCGCGGGACCCCAGGGGATCCGAGCGGGCTCAGGTGATGGCTAGTGGCAGAGGAGAAGTCCGCGCCCGCGGGGGGGCTGGGATTCGCGGTGGGCGCGGCCTGGGGACGGTGGGCTCGGGCTTCTAGGAGTTAAACTGGACCCTTCTCTGCACAGCTCCCCATTTCCTCTGTCCCGCGCTGTACTAGATGCCTTGGGTGACACTCAGAGGCTACCTACCACAGTCCCCAAGAGGCCACCACGCCTAGGGACAGGCTCTGAAACAGTTAATGGTACAACCAGGTGCAAAGAATTAAGCTCTATAGGAAGCTGTTTTCTTAGCAGGACCCAAATCAGGGAGCCATTCCTTCTGACTGGGAAGAGAGGGGCGGGGAAGAGAGGATTCCCACAGGAGAAGACATCTGAGCTTGGAAGGAGGAGAAATGGAGCACCAGGCGAAGAAAACGGCCTAGACCAATGTGTACTGGGAGAGGGGAAGCCCATGAGCTGTATTAGGGAAACACTGGAATTAAGGATGATTAGGATCTAGGCCTTTAGGAGGGAAATGGAGATGAGCCCTGAAAATAATGACCATTTCTTACTGAGAGCTTACTATGTGCTAGAATAAGAATGTAATAACTAAGAAACCAACTAAGTGCAGTCACTGCTCAGCACTTTACATACATTAATTTAATAGTTAATCTAGGGAAAACCTATCTTTTATTTGTCTGTTAATATGTGCCAGGGACTCTGCATACATCATCTCTTAATTAGCCCAATGATTCCCTGCAGTAGGTACTATTACACTGTTTCAGAGTTGAGGAAACCAAATTTAAGAGGTCAAGTAATTTGCCCAATGTCGCACAGTTAATGTCAATCTGTATTCAAGCCCACATCTGTGTAACTCCAAAGCCTGATGCAGCACACCTTAGTTTACAGATGGATAAAATAAAAATCAGAGAAATGGCTTGCCTAAGAGCTCACACCAAATTTTGGCAGAGCCTGGCTCTAGAAACTGAGCCTCAGAACTCGTATCTATTCCTTTCATTGAGCCTCTTTTTTCAAACTCAGGTTTGCACAACTAAACAAGAGGCTGTGTGTTGGGAAGATAAGGCACTCCTGAAGATGATGGTAGGTCTATCAAAACCACTGGATACCCATGGGATAAATAAAAGATATTGTTCTCACCATTGATGCACTTAGAGGCTATATTAATCGGCTCAAGCTGCCATAACAAAATACCACAGACTGGGTGGCTTGAACAACAGAAATGCATTCTTCACGGTAACGGAGGCTAGGAGTCCAAGATCAAGGTGTTGGCTGGGTTGGTTTCTGGTAAGTCCTCTCCTTCTGGCTTGTCCTTACGTGGTCTCTTCTCTGCTTGTGTGGGAAGAGCAGTATCTGCTGTCTTCCTCTTCTTACAGGGACACTAATCCTATTGGATCAGAGCCCCATCCTTATGACTATAATTAATCCTGATTACCTCTTTAGACTCTGTCTCCAAATACAGTCATGCTGGGGGTTAGGGCCTCAACATATTAATTAGGAGGGGACACAGTTCAGTCCATAACATTCTGTCCTCTAGCCCTCAAAATTCATGTCTTTCTCTCATGCAAAATATAGTCACCTCATCCCAACAGCCCCAAAAGTCTTAACCCAATCCAGCACCAATTCCAAGTCCAAAGTCTCACCTAAATATCTAAGTGATATATAGTGTGATTCATCCTGAGGCAAAATTCCTCTTCAGCTGTGAACCTGTGAAACCAGACAAGTTATGTGCTTCCAAAATAGAGGTATAGGATACCATTCCCATTCTGAAAGAGAGAAATCAGAAAGAAGAAAGGGGTGATGAGTCCCAGGCAGGTCCAAAACCTAACAAGACAAATTCCATGAAATGTTAAAAGTTCTAGAATAATCCTCTGGCTGAACACTTTGCCTTCTGGGCCCACTGGGGCAGTAGTGTTAGTTTCCACAGCCCCAGGCAGTGGCCATGCCTGCTCAGCAGCCCCACCAAACCTGTGGCCCTACTTTGCTGTAGCTCTACTCGTGAAGCACTGGGTGGGGGAAGCCTGGCTCCCTGACACCAAGAGGGGACCCACCTTCTGAAACCCAGAAAGAAATGGCCTTGTCCCCTGTTTCTGTATACTCTGGGCATAAGGTGAAAATGGCAGCTTGACACTGAATCACCATCAGGGTCATTCTTCCCTGTTCTTAAAGGACAGAGCATATTCACAGCCAAATGCCTCTGTTGTCCTATCCTAGAATCCCAGAAATTCAAAAGCCTGTCTTTATTCCATTCTGTCTCTATTTCCTTTGGTGGAAACGGGCAGTGTCTCTGCTGATATGATCCCATTGCTCTTCCCGGCTTTTGCTGAAATGGCTGATTAACTGCATGGGGGACCTCCTTACAGAGCACTTGTCCATCCACACCCTTGGAACATGCATTCTCATTTTTTGCAAGTTAGGTGGGCTGAGAATTTCCAAATCTTCAAGACCGTTTCCTTTTTTCGCTTAGGAATTCCTTCAATTTATCTCTCTCCTCTTGTATTTTACTATAAGCAACAAGGAGAAACCAGGCCACACCTTCAATAGTTTGCTTAGAAATCTCCTCAGCTAAACATCCAAATTCATCACTTACAATTTCCATTTTCCACCAGTCACTGGAACACAATTCAGCCAAGTTCTTTGCCTCTTTATAACAAGGATCTCCTTTCTTCCAGTTTCCAATAACATGTTCTGCATTTCTATTTGAGACCTCACCAGAATCACCTTTAATATTCATAGTTCTACCAACATTCTGTTCATTATGGCGTGTGTCTTCTCTAAAGTGATACATGCTTTCTTTATAGTGCCTTTCATTTCTTCCTGAGCCCTCACCAGAATCACCTTTAATATCATATTTCTAATGACAGTCCCTTCAAGCCAACCAAAAAGTCTTTTCTAGCATGCACCTCAAAGCTTATCCAGCCTCTACTACCCAGTTCCAAAGCCTCTTCCACATTTTTAGGCAGTTATTACAGAAGCACCCACTTGGGTACCAAAGTGGTACCCAAAGTGCTAGGGCTGCTATAACAGAATACCATAGGCTGTATGGCCTTAAACAATAAAAATCCATTTTGTTACTAGTCTGGAGGCTGGAAGTCCAAGATCAAGGTGTTAGCAGGGTTGATTTCTGGTGAAGTGTCTCTTCCTGGCTTGTAGATGACCACCTTATTGCTGTATTCTCACATGGCCTCTTCTCTGTGTATGTGGGCAGGGAAAGAAAGAGTTCTGGGCTTTCTCTTCTTATAAGGAAGGGCTCTACTGGATTAAAGCCCCATTCTTATGACCTCCTTTACTCTTACTACCTCCTTCTAGGCCGTATCCCAAATACAGTCACACTAAAGGTTAGGGCTTCATCGAATGAATGGGCATGAGGGGAGGGGGCAGCAAGATATCACTCAGACACCAACAGGAGTCTAGCTGACCAGCCATAAGACTAGAATTCTAGTCCCAGCAATCCCCAGCCAGCTCTGTGACTCTGGGTAAGTCACTTCTATTTTCTGGGCCTGAGTTTCTGACCAATGACCTGAGAACAGTGAAAGATGCCTCAATCCCTTTCACACAGGAGCTGTGAGAAACTGTTGAGATAATGGCAGTGGAAGTGCTCTGCCAAGTAAAAAATGCTGAAGTACCAACTCCAGCTGATTCTGTGGACAATCTACTCGCAAGAGGCATACAACCTCCACACCTGAAATTTGTTTCCATTTGCTGGCACTCAGCTAAACAATATTTAATCAACATGAATCCCTGAAAACTGAGAAGTAGCTCACAAGCAAAAAAGTTCAGTGATTATTGCCCTGACTGAGGAGAAAGAAAGTCTCAATTCTGTCTCTCATCAACCCTCCTCCACATCATACACAGAAGCATATTTTGACTCCCCAAAGCCTTTCCACCTATTTGTAAAGAATGTATTTGTTATTTATAAAGAATACTACATCTTACATAATCTTTAAAATATTCATGACATTTAGCCTAGAAATTACATTTCTGGGAAACTATCCTTAAAAAAAAAATTTGCAATGCACACAAAGATTTATGGACTGGAATGTTCATAGTACTGTTATTTATAATAATGAAAATATTGGAAACAACCTAAATATCCAACTGTGAAGGAACAGTTAATAAATCATAGAATATCTATATGATGGGTTATTATCCAGCCATTTAAAATAATGTTTACAGACAGTTTATCTCTCATGTTAGGTAACAAAAAGCAGGGTCTAAAACTGCAGTGAAGAATGATCTCAGCAATGTAAATAACAGACATTTTTAAAAAAGACTAGAAGGAAACATACCAAAATGTTAGCAGTTGTCACCTCTGGATGGTGAATCGATGGCTAGATGAAGGTTTTTTTGTTTAGTTTGGTTCCTGCTTGTCTTTTTTTTCATACCTCTTCCATTTTCTGTAATAATTATGTATTATTTTAGTAATGCAGGTGGGTGGGTAAGTGGTAAACAAAGGAAAAGAATACAAAAGGAATAACAGTTTATCCTGAGTCTTATGCAAAGATTTTTGCATACTTGACCTCTCTACACAAGCTTGACTCCATCCTCTGATGTTAGGGAAACTGAATCAGAGCTAGAGCCACCAGCTCCAAGTCTGGGGAATCCGGGTGACTTCTTCTCTAGTGATAGTGTACTCTCGTGGTTAGGAGGCGGCCATCCTGCCGGGCTTTCAATCCCTTTGCTGTTCTCTGCCAGCTGTGTGACCATGGGCAAATTAACTTTTCTGTAACTTTGTTGCATCTATAAAGTATGCTGATAATGACAGTTCCTAGCTCATTGAGTTTTTATGAAGCTTAAATGGGTGCTTAGAATAGCACCTGTCACACAGTAAGCAGTCAATAAATGATAGCTTTTATCCTGCTCTACTGATATTA